GCGGCGTCAAAAATTTTGTCGCAGAAGACGATCGGTGCGGATTTAGAAAATCCGAATTATTGGGAGGCTGTGATGGGCTGTGCGTTCCACGGTAAATTAAATATAGTTTGCCGCCTCCTGGCGATGCACAGCAAAGCGGACCATTCGGCGTTCGTTACTGCGGACAATATTATTAGAACAATGCCCGTGTACAATGTATACGGCGGATATTCTGTAAACGAATTTATTATGCGATGGAAGCACTGGCAAATGGATCTTTGCTCAAATCTAGAGACCAACTACTTCGTTATAGATAACAATTTGGAGATGCTTATGAAGGTAAAGGAATATTAATGGTTTTTCTCTATTTTCAACGTGAAAGGTAATATTTTGGCTTTGCAGTTGATATCGGGAGACGAATCGGTATTGTGGGAATATTCCATGTATACGGAAGCGTGGTACGAATTATTGGCAGCGAAGTTATTTTATTCAGCTCCCTGCTGCAAACAGATGGAACTTTCGCGCTACGCAAACAGCGTGGTCGAAAGATGGCAAGCTAACAGACATCTAGATCGTGTAATCCTTGCTTTAATGGAAAATGATTTGTATCAGGTTATCAAAGAGATACAATATATGAGCGATAACGGCTGGTTCGCGGCCCACCTGATGGACCTGTTGTACAAGTGTGGAAAATTAAACATTTTCAGCAAAGAAAAGACCAAGTGGGTAGAAATGCAAGTTGAGAAATAATTATAATTATCAGTGAATTAAACTATTTTGTTACAGCGTGACTGCCCAGCTTCATGAATCCCTCATATTGGAGTACGGCACTACATTGATGAGCCAGCGTTCATTGTGGCAGTGCGGCGCGAGTTACTTGATACATTGCCCCACGCAAGGTTTAGCTAGGCTGGAGATCCTGTTGCAGTCGCTACCAACGGGCACGGAGGCGAGAATCAACAAAATCATTGACGTCGCGCGGGACAATAATATGCCGCACGTTGGTAAAATTCGACCTCTCTCTCTCTCTCTTTCTCTTTGTCTCTCTTGGCTCGAAGAGATTTATAATAACTAAAAAAAAAGATTCTTAGTCACTAGCATATGCAAGATCCAAGGAATGAGGAGCATAAGACAGGGGAGATTGGGCAACGCTCTTACGTGGGCGCTCAAGGCACACGACGGCAATTTCACCACGTACATCGCGGACCAATTTTTGAAGCATTACGCGGAATACGGGGAATTGGAATGTCGCGATCTGCTCGAGAACTTGGGCTCCTGCATGTTGGCCAGCGACAGACTCACATTTTTAGGTAAATGAGTTATATATGTAATCGCCAACGAGAATGAATAATGATAAATATTTCTATAATGTATAACAATGTAATTATTTGTCGTCACACATAAATCGTATATTGTAATTGATATAAAATTTTATAGGCAAATATTGTGAGTTTCATCATGTGTACGGAATGGACGAACATCGCGAAGCGGCAAGCCTATTGGTGTCCCTTCTAGTTTCGAATTTGACGCCGAAGTAGTAAGTTGTTCGTTTTAAGGATATTCGCGATTATACATGAAACTCGCAATTTAATTCGTAAATTTTTGTTTCTCAGTTTTTGGTCCATTTTGCTCACGGACGCTATACCGCTGTTGGAAGCGGAAGACGTGATCTTTTCGTCCAACGATTGCTACGAGTTACTACGTTGCGTAGAGGCCCATGGGGACGATCCGAAATTTCAAGACAAGGTTACCGCCTTCCGACTAGCCGTTGCACGAAATCTCGCACGAGCTTTAAGTTTAGAAGGCTGCCAGGCCGATCATTGACCGCATTCACTGTTGTATTATCTATTGTATAGTGATATCTCCAGTATCTTCCTTTAATAAATTGTAACTAAATTTACAAATACATTTTCTAATTATACAATCTTTTTTCTAATTGAGTCAGTTATTTTTTATCCCATACGCTGTGTGTTATTATTTACAAGAAAAAGAAAATGTTCAAGCTACACTACAAATATATATGAAATCGAGCATTTGTGAAATACGATATTTTTACTAAATATACTGTCGTAAGAATGAAAAATATTGGTATTTTGGAAAATATGTTCAATAAAAATTTACAAATAGTTAAATGCAAAGAAAAGAAGATAAATTGATAAATCAAACACTTGTTTTTTTTTTTTAATTTATAGATATAAATTTTATTCGATTTTACAATTTATATTTAATGTTTATATTTCTTTCACTCTTCCTAAAATTTAAAAAATCAATTATATATTTATACCAATATAATAATACGTTCATCCTATTTATAATTAATATATCTTTGAAAATATTTGGTAGAAAAGATAAGATCATCTGTTTTTAATATTTTATAACATTGAGATTTATTATTTTAGGTATAATTTCATTTTTTTGGTGGCAACTAAAATATGAATGTAAATCGAAAGAAACTTTAAAAACAGGTGATTTGTCTGGTCTTGAACATATTTGCACCTTCTACGTTCTATATCTTCTTCTCGCACTAAAAGCTAGACTATCTATCTCGTTTTAAATGCAGAAAGTGCAGACGAAAGGAGCAAACCTAATCTCCCACCACGCTTCCGTTTGTTTACGTCGTGTGAGTCGGTTTGCACGTGTCTGCACATGGCTCGCAACGATTATCCTCCCGCATCTCGTAAGCAAAGATTTCGTTAATTGTCCTATTTGCCGAGACGCTGTTCTATTTACGCTACATCTATATTCGTAATCGTCACGGCATGATATTCATTGCAGAACATGTTTTCCATCACTTTGGTAAATATTGACAGTTATCAGACGTCCCCGGTACCCGAGCTGGACGTGACATTCTCGGAGTTCCGTGGCTCCGAAGTGAAAAAGGTACCGATAATCAGAGCGTTCGGATCAACTGCCACGGGTGAGTCAAAGGCTGCGGTCCACTTGACGCTACAAATGCTTCGAAGCATTCCTCTTCTCTTTTCTTTCAATGAAGAAAGAAGGAGAACGCTCTAAAGCATTTGTAGCGTCAAGTGGACCGCAGCCAAAGTAGCATAACTTTGTCATGTTTCCTGATATGCTGGTTACGCTGCAGATTCATGTTAAAATGAGTATTATCGAAAAGTCTTGCTCCACATAAAGTCTGAGGATTTTTTCAGGCAAGAAGACATGCTTGCACATTCACGGTGTCTTTCCGTACATGTATGTCGCGTGCACTGTTCGGGAGAATACGGATAGCTATGCTTATCAACTGGCTGCGGCGATCGATTCTGCGCTGAACACATCCTTCGGTTCAGCTTTGTCCAGCAGCCAACACGTCTACAAGATCCAGCGAGTGTCAGGAATGTAAGAAAAGTTTAACTGGAAATTGCGATGGATGATTAGTAATCTTATTTTTAACATAGGAGAGTACTGTACATTGTATTTATTAGATGCGTAATGTATATCGCTTTTACAGACCTTTCTACGGTTATCACGAGAAGGAACACTTGTTTTTTAAAATATATTTTTATAATCCAGCCATAATTAAAAGGACAGCGGATTTGCTGCAGGTATTAAACAGTTCTGTTTTTCTGCCTTTTTTTGCACACGAGACATAATCGTGCAATACTGTGTGCCGTTTTAAGGGGGTAAGAATGGAACAACGAAATGGATTTATTTCATTCTTTTCAGAATGGTGCTGTTCTCAATCAAACTCTGCAGCCGTACGAGGCACACATCCCATATATTCTGCAATTCATGATAGATTACAATCTCTATGGCATGAATTTAATAAATTTGAACAGCGTAAAGTACAGGCACCCTTTGCAAGGATGCGCAAGAGAAGACAGCCAAAGCAGATCTACAATGGATTTGCTAGACACGCAAACGTACCTTCCGATATCCGTAACGAGACAGAGCATGTGCGAGTTGGAAGTGGACGTGCACGCTTCAGAGATTCTGAACGGGCAAGGTGTCACTAAAAATATGGAGCTGAATCCTGGTCTTGCCGCGATCTGGGACGAGGAGAAAGCAAGGAGGGCCGAAGCTGGTCTAGAAGACGCAAAGTCGCAATTATTATATCCCAAAACTCCCAGCAAAATTATCTTACCTCCAACGAGTAGTGATCTTTTTCAAGAGGGCCAATTATTGAAAAGATTGAACGCTATATCACAAGTATTCCATTGTACCATTGTTTGGATTATGATAATGTAATTAATGTATACATGCATATTAAAATCTTGCTTAATTTTCTCATTTCAGACCAATGAGACAATCACTCCAAATACGACGGTACCTTCGTATCCTGTTGAAGTGGAAGATAATGAAAATGTCTTAGATGCATCTCATATTCTAAACCACAGTGAGTCTCTTGTATCTGAGGAAAATCTGGAAAGAACAGTTTCTGATAATTGTCAATTGTTGCAATTAGCCACGTCAGCACTTTTAGAGCCAACTCGAAGTCTAAGTAATATAACAGATACTAGTATTTGTAAGTATTTTATATTCACCAGTGTATATTACTGAATATATTATAAAAATGTTTTTTTTATTATATTTTTCATTAAAGTAACAATAAAATATTTGTTTTGCATACAGTGGATGCAGATGACATACAACTGGTGGAAATGTTAGCTGACCTAGCGGAAGAAAATGAAATGGCGAGCAATGTAGATGACGATAGCGTTCTCGGGTCTCAATATTCTACGTTCAGCGAGCCGGTTAAAAATGATCCGGAGGAAGAAGAGATCGAGGATTTGAATATCACAAGCTTAGATCTAGATCTAAGTTCTTGGGAATCAGTGTATAACCAGAGATCCAATCAACGTGACAATACAGATAACAAACAAAACACTGAATCTGCAGATAATTCAAACGTTACTGAAGAAAATGATGGAGATGTCACACTCGTGAATTTTCCCCAAGTTGATGGAGTTGATGACTTGTATGAGACATTGAAGTACGAAAAAGAAACTACAAATAGTTTAAGTAATAAAGATAATACGGCAGTTCAGTGCCTTTCTAAAATAACTAAAAATTCTAAACATAATAGCTATGTTTCTGTCATTAATACGAGAAAAGATTATGCCATGTGTATTTCATATAGAAATTTAAACCTAATGGACATTGTTAAATGTATCGTAAATAATCCCAGCAGATGTCACTTAAGAAGAGAATTGTACAACTTTGTAAATAGATATTGTTTTCATATCTTTTTGAAATCGAGCAAAAATTTGCGAGGTACAAGTATAAAGTATCCGCATACTGATACGAGTGTTGTCATAAGAGACGCACGTTATTTAAAAGATAATGAAAGAAGAATTGTACACAATAGGAAAACAGAGGAAGAATTATATATTGTTCGATGTCAGGTACAACCGGATCATCGAGATTTGGATGTTTATGATATAGATGATATAGAGACGTTTGAAACTTTAGAACACAACAATTATATGGCAGATTATGAAGCGGACAAGTGTAACTGTGAACGGGATTCCAAATCGTGTGTTGAAAAAGGAGTTCTTTTGACTAGCGATCACTGCTTACATCACGAACGGTGTAATTTTTCAGTAAAGTTCACATTATCGAATATCGACGGTGCTACAGCTACCGATTCGAGCGATGCTGAATCCGAAGCTGATGTGACAATCGTCGAGGATATTAAACAGGAGAAACGTGTTTGCGTTTATAAATCTGGCAAGAAGAACGTGCCGCAAAGTATAGTTCAGGTCACCCCGAAGAAAAGGAAGTTCGATCTTCAAGACGACGATCACGTGTCACCTGGTAAACGAAGAAATGCGGGCGTTAAAACGCCAAAAAGGAGATACAATTCTCCGGGCAAGGCGCCTCGGAGTCCGCAGTTGTCGGGAAATTACTCGCCTCTTAATATTACTATAACGTCTCCGAAATCCGGTAAAAGTCCTGTTCGACAGGGCGAACGATCTCCGAAAAAAAATCAATGTATACCCGATGCTCCTTCCACTACGCCAAAACACAATATACGTCCGTTACGTGTGAGCTTGCTTCGTGAAAAATTCTTAAATTCGGATCTAGGTAATTTTCGAATAGTTTTATTATATTTATGAGGAATTTATTCTTTTAAAAATAACGTAGAATACTTTTGATTTAATAACGCTATCTCATTGATGATAATAAATTGCATTCTCAATTTTTTACTTTTTACACGTAAGTGAAAAATACTTTTTTCTTTCTTTTTCAGAAAATAATGGTGACACTGATAATGAAACAGACACCGCGTAAGATCTGTATATTTCACGTAGTTTAAAGAAATTTATAATAGATATTGTTTAAATTATGTAAATAATCTTTGTTATATTCGTAGCCATATCGTAAAAACTGATAAAACATCAACGATCGACGAGTCAATACCAGATCACGAACAGAGAACAGAAAACAGTGAAAGTTCGTTGATTAACAGAAGCAAAGAGGTTCGTAAAAGATTGTCTTTCTTGACTGAAGAAGATACTCTCGCAAAAACGGATCACAACGTGGGCCAATCTGAAACTTCAATCGCGCTTGGGCATTCGAGTGACCATGTACACGTAGATGTGACTGCACTTGTCTCCGGCAACGAAAACAGTGACGACAGTGTCCCGAACAGTCAATGCACGGAAAAGAGTAATAACGATGTATCTCCTGAAAGAAGCTACGCGCTAGATGTGCGAAACTTGGCGAAAAAGTCCACTCACGACGACATTATTCCTGAAACCGATCTCGACGATGACGAAGAAGATGTGTGCAGCACAACTTTCACCCAGCATCTCAACCAAAAGCTGGAGAGCGACAGTCAAGGTTCGTCGTTGGAACGAGGTGGTCGTCGCCCGTCGAAGAACGCGATAATTACAATTACTACGAAGTACAAGCCTCCCAGCCCTGAAAGAATCCGGAAAAGTATGACGATGTACGGCATTCCGAAGTGCAGATGGCAGAAACCGTTTTTCAGCAACAAACTCGATCTCGCGAAACAAAGGGAATCCTTCAACACGAACGCGTCGTATTTCGACGCGCCTCCGTTTAAATCCAGTCTGGAAGAAGTCACGAGTCTCACACTGTGGCGAAGAATGAAAGTCAACGAGTTTCATCCTTCCGGAGCGAGTGTAAAGTCTTACCATATCAAACGAACCCTTGCTGGATATAGCTCGTTAACGATTAAACCACTTATGGAGCCACCATCTTCCAAGGATGTTAAAAATTGGATTAGAGCTAAGAAATACATATCGGATAAAAATGCTGATGTCAAATCGCGCGAGCAGAACAAGGGAGAGACGTGCAAAAATGTGCAAGATGTACAGCGTCCGTCAATTAATGCCATTGATGAAGAGATCAAACCCCAGCCGGGAACATCTAGAAATTTAATAAATAACGATTCAAACATGGACGGACGTATGCATTCGCCAATGCCTCGACAAAGCGCGCTGAGTGGAACGTCTGACGAAAGCGGGAAATCAGACCGTACACGAAATTCTGATAATTCGCAGATATCGGAGAACAGTTTGGATTCTTCCTTGAAAAAGGCATTGGAAAACCCGTTGTTACATAAAGAAAATAAGACGCAGCTGGGTGTGTCGTACGGTCAGATCGAATGTTCGTCTAAGGGGAGCTACGGTAACGTCTCGAATGAGAATCTTCAGAAAGCTCGAGCGGTAACAGTAGTAAGTTCGTTATCTTAATTCTATGCACGGCAAATCCCCCGGACTCGTTTCACGTCTCGTTGAATTTTCCGCAGCATCAGTATCTGACGTCGTTATCTCTCGAAGTGCACGTCGTTACTCGGGAAGATCTCCTGCCTGATCCGCAGTGTGATTCCATCGCTGCGTTATTTTTCGCGATTTACAACGACGCCCCGACTGACGCCAGTGAGCAGATGGAACATGGTGATTGTTAAAACCAAGAATTTTTTTTATGCGAAAAGTATTTCATATCTCTCAAGATTTTGCTTTGCGAATCGAAGTGTGACGCAAGATGATTGTCCGTGATGATCTCTTCTTTTTTTCTCGTTTTAGGCGCTATAATTGTAAATCCTAACTCTATAAGCGCAAGACTCAACAAGATCCACTCTGCCAGCGCGATGTGTCCAATCCTGTACGTTGCGACGGAACGGGACGCGTTCGATAGCCTTGTGAAATTGATCGAGCGCCACAATCCAGACGTTCTGCTTGGCTGGGAAGTGGAGGCGCTCTCATGGGGCTATGTATTTCAGCGAGCATCTCATCTTCGTCTCAATAACTTTCCAGTGAGAATCTCAAAAGTTCCGCACATGCAGATCTTTGGCAAATCTGACTCGGCTCACGTGTTTGAAAAGGACGACGTAGGTGAGGTAAAAGTAGCTGGTCGTAATATCCTTGACGTATGGAGAATCATGAGACATGAAGCAGGTGAGATATTTTAAAAAGATCAGTTTTTATTCTCTCTGTTCAAAGAGAAATGGGGGAGTAACTTTAATTTCTTCCAGCATTACTGACGTATACCTTCGAGAACGTCATGCATCACGTTTTACACGAAAGAATTCCGTGTCCTTCCTTCAAAACGTTGTCCACTTGGTGGAAACAGGAGAGCATGATAATAAAAAGCAGAGTTATACGTCATTATGTCATCAGAGTCGTAGGCACTCTCAAGCTTCTGAATCACTTGGATATTATAGGTAGGACCAAGAATTTAAATTCTCAGTATTACACCTGTTTCAAGGTTTCTTTTTCTAGTTCGTCGTTTTATTATAAAGTCACGTTGCAGGTCGCACGTGCGAGCTCGCCCGTCTCTTCGGCATACAATTTTACGAAGTCTTCTCGCGAGGCTCACAGTTTCGCGTTGAGTCTATGATGCTCAGATTGGCGAAACCCATGAACTACATTCCGATCTCGCCGTCCGTACAGCAGAGAGCCAAGATGCGAGCGCCGGAGTGTTTACCGTTGATCATGGAACCCGAGTCCAAATTTTATACCGATCCGTTAATCGTGCTTGATTTCCAAAGTCTTTATCCGAGCATGATCATTGCTTACAATTACTGTTTCTCTACCTGTTTAGGAAGGATAGAACATATAGGCCAGTTAGTATCAGTATTAGTATATATTTAGTATTTAAAAAATCGGATTAAACTCATTAATTTGATATCTTCGTCTGTTAGATACGGGCCATTCCAGTTTGGCGCAGCGACATTAAGGATGAAGAAGAACACTGCGTTAAAGTTACAAGATAAAATGAACTTTTCGCCTTGCGGCGTGGCCTTTGTGAAGAAAGAGGTACGTCAGGGAATACTGCCGCGTATGCTGACGGAAATCTTGAATACGCGTCTGATGGTGAAAGAGTCCATGAAGCTGCATCCGGCGGAAAATCGTACGTTGCAGCGCGTTCTTCATTCTCAGCAGTTGGGCCTCAAATTAATCGCGAATGTCACTTACGGCTATACATCCGCCAATTTTAGCGGTAGAATGCCGTGTATCGAGGTACGAAGACATTTCATCGAGATATATAAAGACGAAATAAAGATAATATATAAAGATAAATTAATTTGACAAAATTCTTTAATGTGCTTCTGTCACATTCTGTCAAATTCTGTCAAAATTGTCATTTCATGAGATTTTATTGCAGATAGGCGATAGCGTAGTTAGCAAAGGACGAGAGACGTTGGAACGTGCGATCAAACTGGTGGAAACCACCCCAAAATGGGGCGCACGAGTGGTTTATGGGGATACAGATTCCTTATTTGTACTGTTACCCGGAAAATCTCGAGAAGAGGCGTTTACTATCGGTGAGGAGATCGCGGATGCTGTTACCGCGATCAATCCTCCGCCTGTCAAGCTCAAATTTGAGAAAGTTCTTCATCCATGTATTTTGCAAGTAAGATATTGAGAATTAACGAGAGATCAGCACATATTATGAATGTGATTGTCATATATAAAACAAAGATCGATGACCAAATTGTTAAATTCAATATTTCAGACGAAGAAGCGATATTGCGGATTCATGTATGAAACTCGCGATCAGGAGAAGCCTGAGTTCCTGGCGAAAGGCATCGAGACGGTTCGCAGAGATGGGTGTCCGGCAGTTTCCAAAGTAAAGAAAAGAAACCACGACTGAAGCGCGCTGAAAAGGCGGTGCTCGTAATTTTTAAATTAAACATTTGCATATTGCAGATACTCGAGAGGGCCCTTAAAATCTTGTTCGAGACGAAGGACATTTCTCTGGTGAAGCAGTACGTGAACAGGCAGTTCGACAAGATCTTTCAGCGACGCGTGTCCATCCTGGACCTGACGTTCGCGAAGGAGTTCCGCGGGATGCGTGGCTACAAGGCCAATGCCTGCGTGCCAGCGTTAGAGCTGACGCGCAGATTGATCAGGAAGGATCCGCGCGCTGTGCCGCGCACCAGCGAGCGCGTACGCTACGTCATCGTCGCGGGCGCGCCGAATCAGGCGCTCATCTACTGCGTGCGTACGCCGATGGAAGTCGTCGCCGATCCGTCATTAATCCCGAACTCCGTGTATTACATAACGAAAGTCATCATACCGCCTCTCAATCGATGCTTCAACTTATTCGGAATCGACGTCAACGTGTGGTAAGGGCGTGTCTTATTGAATTGCGTGTCTCACTTCTTCCATGATAATCCTTATTCGCGTTTATATTAAATTACCTATAAATGTAATTATTGAGCATTCTTTTGGCGAACATTTCAAGATAAGATATAATCGTAACGCGCGTAATCACTGCGTTTCATCGAGTGTTACAGTCGTGCGGATAATAGGACGTTGCGTTTACAGGTATAAAGAAATCTCCCACCGTTCGAATTTCGATAATATCGCACACTTGGGTGAAGGCAATCCGAAATCTACTATTCGTCAATTCTTCAGTTCCACGGCGTGCATCACCTGCGGGGAACAGACCAATAAAGAGATCTGTCCGGATTGCCTTCTGCAACCGAGCCGGACCGTTCTCATACTTCTCGAAAAGGTCAAACAATTGGAAAGGAATTATCAACAAATTGCTGCTGTAAGCATAAACGCAGAAATAAGATTTGTGCAAATGTGCATCATTATTGGACGTGAATTTATGTTAAACGTCTTTAAGATGTAAATTGCGATCAGTCAATGATCATTATTTAATAACGAACTTTTTTCAGATCTGCCATTCTTGTATTGGACAATTAGGCGGCATAGAATGCGTATCCTTGGACTGTCCTGTTTTATACCGACTGGCACAAGCTCGCAAAGAGCTCGGTCAAGTTTCCTACATGAACAGTATTATTTATGGAAGTAATTCCAGTGGAATTAAGGAATTGAATTCAATTGCTGAGTGGTATTGATTACAGTGTGGAAATTAATCTTTTATCTGAAATGGTCAAAAATAAGGAAAAGAACGAATGGTCTAGTTTCAATTAAATTACAAATGTCTTGTAAAATAGTATTTTTGTTAACATATTGTTGTAAATACTGTCAGTGAAGTATTATTTTTACAAATAAATATGCGAAATGGAATGGTATATCAATTTTAATTAAATTTCCATTCCTATATTCCAATCTAAGCGTAGAAAACGTAACGTAAGATAAGTACAAGCACGGACAACGTGTTAAAAAAAGGTAAGAAATTTCTTGGAGCTTTAAATAAGATCAAACTCTTGCCAATTGCATTCTCCTGATATTTTATCAATTTTTGAAGTCCAAAATTCTTGAAAAATCGACGAAAGATAATGTGACCTCCTTGCTGATTATGTTCTCCTAATACCTTGTTCATTTTCATGAATTTAGATTGTCACGTTGAAGTTTTCAGATTTCAAGACCTCCAAGATAAATATAAAATATTCAGACACGACGATCGGTAAACTTATACCCTTATACCGACAGTATTATCGATAATATCAGTTTCCATCATTTACCGACGGTTTCGAAAAATTGCCCAGCACCGCAGGCTGTTTATTTTCCGTATAAAGGAAGATTGCGATTGGTTGTCGATTCGCATGGGCCAGCATGGACGACCAATGACAAACGCGCATTCTTTACAGCTGTGTCTCTCGAACTAATCAGTAG